TCCGCGGAAGTCGACGGAAGCAGAACGACGCAGCAAACGACGGAGGGTTTGCAGAATACAGCGGAAGTCGATGACGTCTTTTCGGGACCTCTACCCCCGTGGAAACCTAGCAATGTAGTCCTTTGTCGTGGGCCGGGCGGGACCCCGCCGAGCTCAGTCCTTCGGCCAGAATCTTGCCCATGAAAAATACTGGCCACAGGTATGCAGGGTCGTTCACGGATCCCGCCGTGCTGGGATCGGCTCGGTGTACGACGGGTTCCACAAGTTTGAAGATTGCTGCTGCCTCGGGGCCTTTTTGAAGCCATGTTCAGACGATGCGGGGTCATCTCAGATACTTCTCAGGACCCCTTGGAGGCCCAGGTCCACTGATATCATTATGGTGCTTGGGCGTCACACGGTCATTGCGTCTGCTTGCGAATACTTGTCTGTGAGATTGTCCGAGGGATTTTCTCTTGGACCACAGCCGTAGTAGTGGTAGTAGTAGTCGCCGTCGTAGTAATAGTAGTAGCGTTGACTTTTTAAAGTCGTAGTAGTAGTAGTAGTAGTAGTAGTAGTAGTAGTAGTAGTAGTCGTAGTAGTCGTAGTAGTGGTAGGAGTAGAAGTAGAAGTAGGAGTAGAAGAAGTAGTAGTAGTAGTAGTAGTAGCAGTAGTTGTAGTACCAGTAGTAGTAGTAGTAGTAGTATAGGACAAAACGAGGTCCAGAGTAAAGTCGTATATAGTAGTGTAGTAGTATAGTAGTAGTACAGTGTAGTCGTAGTAGCTAGCCGTGGAAGTAGTAGTGTTACTAGTTAATTAGTAGTAGTATAGTAGTTTGTAGTAGTAGTAGTAGTAGTAGTAGTACAGTATTATGGTATAGTATAGTAGTAGTAAGTAGTATAGTAGTAGTAGTAATGATAGTAGTCCGCGGCGAGTAGTGAAGTATTCGATAGATAGTAGTAGTAGTAGTCTTAGTAGTGGTGGTAGTTTGTCCGTAGAGTAGCGCAGTAAGTAGTAATAGTTTTTTCGTAGTAGCCGTGGTAGTAGTAGGCAGTCGTAAGTAGTCTATTAAGTAGTATTAGCAGTATCAGTAGTATTGATCTTTATTCGTCAACGTAGTAGTCGTTGTAGTAGTAGTAAAGTAAGTAGTAGTGAGTAGTATCTGTTGGTGGTGGTGGTGGTAGTAGTAATCATGGTCGTAGCAGTTGTCGTTGTAGTTGTTGTAGGAATGGTCGTAGTTATCCTAGTAGTCGTGATCGTAGTAGTAGTAGTAGTAGTAGTAGTAGTAGTAGTTGTAGCAGTAGTAGTAAGTAGTAGTAGTAGAAGCAGTAGTAGTAGTACTGTCAGTAGTAGTGGTAATACTAAGAGAAGTAGTACTAGTAGTAGTAGTAGTAGTAGTAGTAGTAGTAGAGTCTTATGTAGTGGTCGTATCGTGTAGGAGTAGTATTATTAGTAAGTAACTAGTAAGTACAGCTAAGGTATTAGTCAAGTATAGTAGTAGTATACTAGTAGTCCGTAGTGTAGTATAGTAATCGTAAGTATTAAGGAGTACGCCGTATAGTAGTATGGTCCGCAGTAGTATTAGTAGTAGTAGTAGTGTAGTAAGTCGTGTAGTCCCCGTAGTTGTATCAGCATTTATTAGTAGTAGTAAGGTAGTCGTAGTAGTAGTAGTGGTATTAGTATTAGTATAGTAAAGTAGTCGTAGCCGTATCCTAGAGTAAGTAGTAGTAGTAGTAGTAGTAGTAGTAGTAGTAGTAGTAGTAGTATTAGTCGTGGGTAGTAGTAGTAGCAGTAGTAGTTGTAGTAGTAGTAGTAGTAGTAGTTGTTGTTGTCGTAATAGTAGTAATAGTCGTAGTAGTTGTAGTCGTTGTAGTTCTAGTAGTAGTAGTAGTAGTAGTAGTAGTAGTAGTAGTAGTAGTCGTAGTAGTAGTAGTAGTAGTAGTAGTGGTAGTAGTGGTAGTAGCAGTAGTCGTAGTAGCAGTAGCAGTAGCAGTAGCAGTAGTAGTAGTAGTAGGTGTCGTGGTAGTGGTGGTTGTAGTAGTAGTAGTAGTAGTACTAGCAGTAGTAATATAGTATTACAAGGAACAGCCGGTAGCAGTTAGCTGGTAGTTGGCAGTGGGTAGTAGGAAGCAGTGGTGATAGTAGTGGTGGTAGCTTTAGCAGTCGTGGTAATTGAACGTGTACTGTTAGCAGTAGTAGGCATAGTAATAATGATAAAGGGAGAAGAGGTAGTAGTAGCAGCTGTAGGAGCAGTACCCATAGTAGTCGTAGCAGTAGTATCAGTAGTAGTAGCACTGGTAGTCGTAGTAGTAGTAGTAGTAGTAGTAGTAGTAGTAGTAGTCGGAGTAGTAGTCGTAGTAGTAGTAGTAGTAGTAGTAGTAGTAGTAGTAATAATAGTTGTAGTAGTAGTTGTAATGTTACGGCAGTAGTAGTAGTAGTAGTAGTCGTAGTAGTCCTAGTAGTAGTAGTCGTAGTCGTAGTAATAGTGGTAGTACTCGTAGCAGTAGCAGGAGCAGTAGTAGTAGTAGCAGCAGTAGTAGTAGTAGTAGTCGTAGCAGCAGTAGTAGTAGTAGTAGCAGTCGCCGTCGTATTAGGAGTAGTAGCAGTACAGTAGTAGTCGCAGCCTTAGTAGGAGCAGTAGTCGCCTTAGCGGGACAATTTGTAGAAGCAGTAGTCGTAGGAGCTGTAGTGGTAGTAGCAGTGGTAGTAGCAGTAGTAGTACGGGTAGCAGTAGCAGTAGTAGAAACCGAAGTAAGAAGCAGTAGACGTTGTAGTGGTGGTAGTAGTAGTAGTAGTAGTAGTCGCCGCAGTAGTAGTAGTAGTAGTAGTAGTAGTAGTAGTAGTAATACTCGTAGTCGTAGTAGTAGTAGTAGCAGTAGTAGTAGTAGTAGTAGTAGTAGTAGTAGTAGTAGTAGTAGTAGTAGTAGTACTAGTCGTCGTCGTCGTCGTAGTAGTAGTAGTAGTAGTAGTAGTAGTCGTAGTAGTAGAAAAGATTGTAGTCGTCGTTGTCGCATTGGTAGTAGTAGTAGGAATAGCAGTCGCCGCCGTAGTAGCAATAGCAGTAGCAGCAGTAAGTAGTAGTAGTAGTAGTAGTAGTAGTAGTAGTAGTAGTAGTAGTAGTAGTAGTAGTAGTCGCAGTCGTAGTCGTAGTAGTAGTAGGAGTGGTAGTAGTAGTAGAAGTCGTAGTAGTAGTAGCTGTAGTAGTCGCAGTCCCAGTAGTCGTAAACGCAGTCGCAGCAGATGTAGAAGTAGTAGTTCTAGTAAGGCTGGTCGTATTGGGGGTAGCAGCAGTAGAAGCAGTAACAGCTGCATTGGCAGAAGTCGCACCAGCAGTAGCAATCGCAGAAGTAGTTGCAGTAGCAGTACAAGTAGCAATAGCAGTAGTAGCAATACTAGTAGTCGCCGTTGTAACCGTAGTGCTAGTAGCAGTAACAGTAGTAGTACGAGTAGTACTAGCAGTACTGGTCGATCTGGTATCCGTTGTCGTAGTAGTCGTAGTAGTAGTAGTCGTAGTAGTAGTGGTAGTAGTAGTAGTAGTAGTAGTAGTAGTAGTAGTCGTAGTCGCAGTAGTAGCCGTCGTCGTTGTGGTAGTTGTCGTGGTCGTTCTAGTCGTAGTCGCGCTTGCAGTTGCACTGGTGGTCGTCGTCGCAGTAGTAGTTGTAGCCGTCTCAGCTGTAGTCGGAGAATAGTGGTCGCAGTGGTAGTAGTAGTAGTAGTAGTAGTAGTAGTAGTAGTACTAGTAGTAATAGTAGCAGTAGTAACAGTAGTAGTAGTAGTAGTAGTAGTAGTAGTAGTAGTAGTAGTAGTAGTAGTAGCAGTAGTAGTAGTAGCAGTAGTAGTAATGGCAGTAGTAGTAGCTGTTGTAGTCGTAGTTGTAGTTTTGGCTGGAGTAGTAGTAGTAGTAGTAGTCGTCGTCGTTGGAGTAGTAGTAGGAGTGGTAGTCGTAGTCCTCATCCAGGTAGTCGTAGTCGTACGGGTAGAAGGTTTAGTTGTAGTAGTAGCCGTATTCGTCGTAGTAGCCGTAGTGGTAGTAGTAGTAGTAGTAGTAGTAGTAGTAGTCGTAGTAGTAATAGTAGTAGTAGTAGTAGTGGTCGTAGTAGTAGTATTTGTAGTAGTAGTAGTAGTAGTACTACTACTAGTAGTAGTAGTTGTTGTAGTGGTAGAGTCAGTAGCAGTAGTATTAGTAGTAGTCGTTGTAGTAGTAGTAGTAGTTGTTGTTGCCGTAGTCGTGGTAGAAGTGGTAGGGGCCGTAGTGGCAGCACCAGTAGTAGTAGTAGTAGTAGTAGTAGTAGTAGTAGTAGTAGTAGTAGTAGTACTAGTAGTAGTAGTGGAAGTAGTAGTATCAGTAGTAGTAGTAGTAGTAGTAGTAGTAGTAGTAGTAGTGGTAGTAGTAGTAGTAGTAGTAGCAGTAGCAGTGGCAGTAGCAGTAGCAGTAGTAGCAATAGCAGAAGTAGTGGTAGAGGAGTAGTAGTTGTGCTAGTAGTCGTACTTTCAGTAGTAGTCGTAGCAGTAGATGTCGCAGTATTCATTGAACTTGCGGGTTGGTACGCGTAGTAGTAGGAGTCGGAGTAGTAGATACATTATGGGTGGTAACAGTAGTAGTCGTCGTCGTCGTCGTCGTCGTCGTCGTCGTAGTAGTAGTAGTAGTAGTAGTAGTAGTAGTAGTAGTAGTAAAAGCAGCACTTGTAGTTGAATCGTATGAGTAGTCACAGGGAGTAGTAGTATAGTCGTAGCACAAGGAGTAGCAGTAGTCGCAGTAGCAGTTATAGGTGGGAGTAGTAGTAGTAGTAGTAGTAGTAGCAGCAGCAGCAGTAGTAGTCGCCCTAGTCGTAGTAGGAGTCATAGCAGCCGTAGTAGCAATCGTAGTAGTAGTAGTAGAAGAAGAAGAAGAAGTTGCAGTGGTAGTAGTAGTCGTAAAACGAGATGAAGACTTACAAGCATAACAAGGCGTGTAGTTGGATGGCGTCTCAGGGTGTAGTAGTAGGATGCAGGATGTTGTGTACGCTCTTCAAAGATGCAGTAGGATGCAGGATGTTGTAGACGGTCGCAAATTCGATTCGTATTTTCCCTAGCGGTAATGAAGCTCGGCCTCGCCGCCCCTCTCCCCCGACCAACTTTGTCTATCCCCGGGGTTATACATTGTAAGGAGGCAAAAAGAGTATGGGGGATCCTTTATTATGGGGGGCGCTCTGTCATCGGACCGCTATTAATTATTAGTGTTATGCGAGGACAGCGATACATTCCAATATTTTCCAGATTTCCAAAATTTCTCATTGTCCCGCACGGGATCAAAAAGCGAGGGCCGCCAGATCGTCTGCAAGTGTTGGAGTCTTTTCTTAGCTAGTCGCACCATGGCATCAGTCTCGTCCTAGGTCCGATTTGACTTCGGTTCCGTGCCGACAGACATCCGATGCAATACGCGGCCCCTTGCCCAGAAGTCCCGACCCGTTCCTGGAGTCGCCTTTTATCGGGAGTCGTTGTTTAGCGGTTTTGGGGCCCGGCGAAGGCTCCCAGATCCCGAGAACGATGAAAAACCTCCGTCTTGTTTTGTCCATGCCTTGGATCTCTGAGATCCCGACCCGACCCGATCCCCGGGTTGGTGCTGGCTGGCCCCGTAACAGGCCGTGCAGGAGGCCGTCCGGGACTGCCACCTCGAGGGCAGGAGGGGCTTCCTCTTGGAGGACGTCTACGAGGTCTTGGAGGCCCTTCGCCAGAAGGCGTCGTGGGCGATGAATACATATCCGAATCCATACACGGCCTCGCGGGCCCGGCCCCTGGGCCGCGACCTTGCGGATGCGGGGCGGTTTTTCCCGGACGCCATCGGCGTAGCCGTGCGTCCGCGGGCTAGCGCCCCAGAGTCCTGACCGCGAGAGCGCGGATATGGGTATGTTCGCCGCTCGTGGAGGAGTGCATGACGCACAGCGAAGTCGAGGACTCAGGGGCAACGTTAGGGTGGATAAGCTCAGGCCTTGAGATCCTGGCGTAGTAATTCTTGCACAACGCGAGACGGTGCCTCCTTTCGGGCCCCAGGGCCCTCACTGATCGATCCCGTAAGGAAAATGATGCAGAAAGACGGAATCTAGGGCTTCGGTCGTGATTTTTCGCGATGTTGCATTTGTTGCGCAACGTTGGGCTTCAGAGGGGGGGACCCATCAGTCCCCCATCGACCATTCATCGCCGATAGCCTGCTCCCAGCCAGGAACACGCAAATGCGCTTTCGGTGGCCTTTCGCCGATTCAGCGGCGTTTCATCGCCGACTTCATGCCCATGTCCCCCCCCCTGGTCCAGACCCTCACTAACGTTGCCCCTTCAGGACCTCCGCCAGTCCTACAGGAATCGAGGGAGACTGAAAACTGCAAACCCACGTTTCCGAACATATGATTTTTCCCATCTGTCGGTTTTTCCATGATTTCGTCCTTCAGGGGCTGTGCTTAGGTCTCTGGACCTTCAAACATAGCCTTGGACAAAAAAATTGCCCCTGGGGAGGTAGTCGGGGGTCCTGGAGCCGTGGATTTGTCTTAGTCGAATCGGCGGATGTCAGGCGACACATGTTTGAATGTCCGCGCGGCGTTTCTGGATTATGCGCCGTGCCCCCTCGGTTTGCACTTTGCGCGCCAGGGATGGGAGGTCCAACGCAGGTCCTTGAAGTCCGCGCGGGCAACTGAAAGTTTATGTTTGCGCGGCATCTTCCCCAGCCCTCCGAAGTCTTGATTTTTGTCGCAGGACCAGGGCCGACCGTTGATGGGCAAGGGGGAGCCCCCATAGCCAGAAGAAACACAATACCCTCCGTCATTGCTTTTCCACGGCGCGAGCGGGTCCGGGTGTTCATCCAAGGAAGTACAGCGATGGCGGCAATGCGGGCCTCACTGGCGTACCGCTGAGCAGCGCGCTGCGGCAGGCTGGCTGGGCACTGCCGGTGACGGAGGTGCAGGACATGCTCCTAGGCTTCGATTTGGACAAAAGCGACAGCATTTGCGAGGTGGAGTTCGTCAAGCTTGGGAAGAAGCTCAGGCTAGGATGCAACTCCTGGGAGGTTGAATTTAGCATTGGCGCTGGTAGATTCAGGGTCGAGAAATGGCATGACGCAATCTGGGACAATCCTTCATAATTCAACGTAATCCTGCGCTGAGTCTGGCTCTGGCTACATCCAGCGTATCATCTGGGCGAACTTAACATTGGCCAGTTGGCCTTTATTCAACTCGTACGGAGACCTCTCAGAAGATGTCTCCGAATTCAGGGAAGATCTGATCCTCAAGCTGGAGATTGAAGAAGAAAAGACTACACATAACATATGCGTTTGGAGGTCCGCGCGGATTTCTTGGATCGGCGCTGGACCCCCCTCCCTGGAAGGGGCGGCACCGCCAGGGCCAGCCCCGATCCAAGAAATCCGCGCGGACCTCCGGAACTTTATGTTTGTGTTGCTTTTCTCCCTCTAGGATGAGCAGTACGAAGAGAAAGAACTACACTTGCCAGGCATGTGGGCAAGACCTATATCCGTATCCACGGCGTCCTGGATTTTTCGGGGAAGGGATGCCACACATCAGAGACCTGGTGGATGTGGATAAACATCTGGCTCCTCGATTAGCCATATATGTTTTTCATTGCGTCTCGTGTCTCCACGGAGGGGAGTCCGAACACCCGAGACGCAATGGATGTGGATGTAACTCCTGCCAGCGAGGCAAGATCACCGAGAGCGAGCTCCGCTCGGCGGCGATGTGCCACCTGCCCTTCAGGGTCGACGTCCAGCAGGTGCAGCTGATCTGGCACGAGTGCGGGAGCAGGTTCGCTGAGAGGGCCGACAGGTAAGCGACGGAAGAAGCACGGGTTCGACTGCGCATGCTTGCGCGCGTAAGTTGCTTCCGTCAGGTCGCGCGTAAGCGCCCTCGTTTCCAATGTAGCTTGCCGCGCTGGCGACCCGCGCAAGCCGTCGCGTAAGGTCATCTTGCGCGTCAGACCCGTTTCTTTCTTCGTCGCCCAGGTGGGACTGGCTGAGATTGGTGCTCGCCTACTGGAGGGCGGTGACGGAAGCAGGAGAAACTCGGAGTAGGGTTAAGTCGGGCTTGTCCTTGCACAGGAGGGATATCAAAGAATAGTTCGAAACATAGTCTGGGGACTATGTTTTGATTCTTTTTGGGCATGTTGGGCGCATTTTTTGTTTGTTTGTATGTTTCATTCTTCGCCGAACATCCCCCCTGTATAGGGGGGGACAGGCCCGACCTAAGAGCAGGGCGAGCTGAGGCCACGCCAGCTGGCCTCCGGCGATCGGCTCGTCGCCACGGCTGGGTTCAGCTCGGACCACTGGTGCGTTGGGACCTGAGGGCCAAGGAGACCGATCTTGAGCTACACATTGTTCGTTTCTGATTCTTCGAAAGTTCTTTGATTCTTTTGGGGGCCTAGATCCGTTCTTTTCTAACTGTTCTATCCTGGGCCTCTTCCTGGCCACTAGGGGGCCAGGAACAATTAGAAACGAGCGCAATAAGGAATGAGCACGATTAGAAATGAACGACGTGTGACGTTGTCTCAACTTGCCCTGCTCCGAGAAATTGCATCACCATAACATTGCGGGGTTCCAGGTGCAATTTGTTTGGATCGGCGCTGGCCCCCTCTGGTGGCGTCTCCCGCGCCGGCAGGGGGGGGCCAGCGCCAAGAGTTCAGAGTCATGCAGTGGCTTGTCTCTCCAGGTGAGGGACAAGCGCCGCGAGAACTTCGGGTTCGACAACCAAGACGTTCGGAACTTCCTTGCACGGTTCGCCCGCCACGCGGGCGGTACTGGCGTGATCACGCTCGCAGACAAGAACCTTGCCAGCCTCCTCGACGAGACGTTCCCCACCATGCGGGTCAACTTGAAGGACCGCCAGCAGTAGGAGGAGGAGGATTTGTTGCGATGAACTGATGCCGAGGTGTGCCGAAGTTCCTGCATGCACCGTGTAGACGAGTCCGTAACAACCTGCAGGGGTCCCTTACCCCACTTGTTTACTTGTGGCGGGAGGCTGCCGCTGCCCTTTCGGCAGTCTGTTCAGCGGCCTCTCTGGCTGACCTGATATCCAGTTTTTTTTGCGTAGGCTCTGCCAACACTTCTGAAAGTTCCAGGGAGGCGTACGATGAAGGTAAATCCTTCCACAGCGGTCTTGGACGCTTTCAGAGCGTTCTGGGTCGCTCTGAATCGGCAGCGGCGCCCGATAATTTCTTCACACCCGCCGGCTCTCATACATTCCCGTTCCATTCTCGTCCAAATTGTTTGGTCACCCTGCTTCCGCCATGGCATAGCAGGCGCGCAACTTACAAAAACATGTACTTGGTTCACAGTGGAGGACGCTAAGGGGACGGGGGAGTCATGAATGTGGATTGTAAGATGGGGTAAATTTGGCCTGGCCTGGCGCAGTAGTGGGTCGCGTCTACCCTGAGTGGCTTCGGGTGTAGATTGCTGCGCTAAGGATGCAGAGCCCACGTCAGCTTGGACTCTACTTTCTTAATCACTCGGGGCGTGTGTCACGCAGGTATATCTCCCAACTTGGCATCCACGCTCAGCTCCCCTGTCCCCTGGGCCCCTCCCGCGGTGATCCGAGGCGCGGGTCGCGCAAATTCCACATCAAAAGATTCCACATACAACCCCTGGTCCGTGGGAGGCCTTCGTGAGAAAGCCCCCGGGAGGCCCCGCCGGGGCCAGAAGCGCCAAGGCACTTCCCTGGGCCTCGAGGGTCGAAGGCAGAGCTTGGCAGAGGGAGGGGCCATAGGGGGAGGAGGAGGAGGAGGAGGAGGAGGAAAGTGGCAGGGTGAGGCAGCGGGAGGAGGAGGGGAAGGAGCAAGGAGGAGGAGCAGAGCAGGTAGAGGGAGGAGCAGGAGCCAGGAGGGAGGAGGAGGAGGAGGAGGAGTAGGAGGAGAGTAGGAGGTGTGGAGGAGGGAGGAGGAGGAGGGTGGGAACGAGGAGGAGGCGGAGGAGGAGGAGGAGGAGGAGGAGGAGGAGGAAGAGGAGGAGGAGTAGGAGGGGGTGGAGGACGACGAGGAGGAAGAGGACGACGAGGAGGAGGAGGAGGAAGAGGAGGAGGAGGAAGAGGAGGAGGAGGCGGGAAGGAAAAGGAAGAGGAGGAGGAGAAGAAGGAGGACGACGACCGGCCCCGAGGCCTACCAGAAGGCAGCGGGCTGGCTGGCGGAGGTGGGGCGGCGCAGGGACCCCGTGATCGACTTCACCGAGTTCCTGCGGATGATGCGGCAACTGGAAGACGATGCCGACGAGGAGCCTCTCGAGCAGTGGCGAAGCGTCCTGGCTTGCTTCCAGGCCCACCAAATAATGTTCTAAGAACCGATCGTGGTCCGCACGACATGCTCCAAGAACATGTCTGGCTGAGACTGTCTTGTTTTACCACCTCGGGATTGTGCTCAGAGAACACTGCTCCTGCTCTTGGAACATTTGTGGGTCCTGAGAACACTTCGTCGGAGGCCTATAGCAGTGCCGGGACGGTCGGTCCCTGCTCAAGCCTCTCAGGGCAGCCCCGCCGGCGCCCTCTACCCAGACCCCTTTCAGGAGGGGAAAAAAACACAGACACAATTCATCGACGATTCCTCAGAAAATAAGGAAAAAATCGGAAGTGGGAGGGGGAGACGAAAACCCCAAACATATTGGAAAATATGGGAATCCTGTAATTTGTGTATATTTATTTGTGTGTCCTAGGGCCCCTTCACCCTTTCGCGGCGTAAAGCAACAGAACGACGTCCAGTTCATGCCGCTTTCGGCCCCTGGGGGTCCCAACTGATCCAGGATGAAACACCGACCCTGGGGAAGCGCTGGCGACCTTTGGGGCTCACGCTGCGACAATATCGCGACGTCGCGGGCCTGGGCTTCGGATCGGGCGAGAGGGCTTCGAAGCCCGAGGTTTCCGGACGTTCTAGTGTAAGTCGGGCCTGTCCCTCTACAGGAGGAATATTCAAAAATAGGCAAAACATAGTCTGGGGACGATGTTTCCACTATTTCTGTGAGTTTTGGAATATGTTTTGGCTTTTTTGTTTTTCATCCAGAATCCCACCGCAGCGGGACACGCCCGACCTGATTGTAGTGGCTTTCCAGCCGTCTGGCCGAGTGCGCTCCGGCGATGCCCAGATTGTCCCGAGAGGTCGCTGGAGATCCAAGTCGGAGGGCACCAACTGTACACCAACACCGATCCGGGCCCAGGATCACCCTGGGCCGAGGATCGGTGTATATGCCTTCTTGCGCAAGGCAGGAGGGCGTATACACCGATCCTGGGCCCAGGCTTATCCTGGCCAGGATCGGTGTTGGTGTATAGTTGGTGCCTTCCTACCAAGGCGTGACCCAGAAACCAGACGAGAATCATTCGGTTCGGACAAACAAGGGGGGGCGGGGGGGGGGCACGAAGTTTGCCGCCTGCAGCAGCCGGTCCGGGCCCCGCCGCCAGATGTTCTTGCTCGAGCTCCTGGCGCTGGGAGGCGCCGGGAAAGCAAGCCAGCCACGCTGACTTGCTACCCCCCACCCTTCTTCAGGCGATCGCTAGCATGGATCATGGATTAGCGACGAGGATGATTTCCGCCGCTTCTTCTTCTGCTTCTTCATCGACCGCGGATTTCCGCCGCCGAGCGAGGCGGCACTGGCCGAATTCCGGGGAGGGCACCTCCCCCGATCCATGGATTTGGCGACCGCGCGCCAAGTCCAGGGATCGCTGCTCCACCCTTGTGCGCCTCCGACCTCCTGTTGTCCCCCGTTCGTCCGGCCCGGTCATCGATGGGGCACGGCAGGCGGGCACGCCCAGACCTCCCTGGGCTTCGCGGCAGAGGCAAGGGCCGTCTCGCCTCACCTCGGGCCTGTCCCTCAACAGGAGGAGTATTCAAAGATTGTCAAAACACAAATCGGGGGACGATTTCTCGCACTATTTTCTTCTATTTGGGAGTATTGTTTCTACTATCGTTTATTTTTCGTCCAGAACCCCCTCTGTAGGGGGACATGCCCGACCTCAAGGTACGGACCGTCTCACTCTGCCCGACGTCGAAGGGGCGGCCGGCGGATGAAAGACGCAGGTCGCCCGAGAAGGTTTGGGCGGCCTCCCAGACACTGGGTCGGAGCAGACGGGGTCGGAGGATCGCGCCGCATCGCCGATGCATCGCCGATGCGGCTCGCTGTGGAGCGCCCGATTTGCTTCACGTCGACGTCGCCGATGCATCGCCGATGTCGGCGTTGCATCGCCGATACCTCGCCGATACATCGCCGATGCATCGGCGATGCGGCACGATCCTCCGACCCCATCTACTCCTACCCCATCTAGGAGGCTGAGAGTCTCAGAGAGGCCCGTGTCGTGGACAGGCCCAGACATCCGATGTGCTTCGATATTTTCACACGTGGTTCCCAGAAGTCGAGGGCCCTTTCTCAGGGACCCTTTTCGCATCTCGAGTCTTTGGCTCTTCTAGGCCTCCCAGATGGGGTCTAAGCGCATTGGGACTGAGGATCGCGCCGCATCGTCGATGCATCGCCGACGTGGCTCGAAGACGACTAGGATTTTCCCCAAGACGGCGCCGAGGAATCGCCGACGTCGCTGACGCATCGCCGACGCATCGCCGATGCTTCGCCGTTGCAGCGAGACGCTCCGACTGCATCTGCTCGGACCCCATCTGGGAGGCCTGAATTGACGGTCCAGGGTCCGGCGACGGCCCCAGAGGTCGAACATTGTGCAAACATTTAATTCGTTGTTTCCCAACTCTCCTTTTGAATAGAGCACTGTGGTCTCCACCTTCTCCTTCTCCTTCTCCTCCTGCTCCTCCTTCCCGTCCCTCCTTCTCCCTCCTTTTCCTCTCTCCTCTCGCTTGCCTTCTGCCTCCTGCCTCCTGCCAGCGGTCTGCGAAACTGTTGCTGGTGGCATGGGTTTCTTGGAGGCCCAGCGGAGGTACGTCATACGCGGGTCACCACGAGACCTCACCGTCCCCAGGGGGGCTGCGATCCGCGAAACTGTCGCCACTTTCGTGGGCTTCTGGGATGCCCAGCGGAGGTACGTCCTACGCGGATCACCACGAGACCTCGCCGTCCCCTGGGGGGTTGCGATCTGCGAAGTTGTTGCCTTGTTCGTGAGCTTCTGGGAGGCTGCGATGTGCGAAGCTGTTGCTTTTTTCGTGGGCTTCTGGGGGGCCCAGCCGAGGTACGTCATACGCGGATCACCACGAGACCTCGCCGTCCCCAGGGGGGCTGCGATCCGCGAAACTGTCGCCACTTTCGTGGGCTTCTGGGATGCCCCGTGGAGGTACGTTATACGCGGATCACCACGAGACCTCGCCGTCCCCTGGGGGGTTGCGATCTGCGAAGTTGTCGCCATTTTCGTGGGCGTCTGGGGAGCCCAGCGGAGGTACGTCCTACGCGGATCACCACGAGACCTCGCCGTCCCTTGGGGGGTTGCGATCTGCGAAGCTGGTGCCGGTCTCGTGTGCTTCTGGGACACCAAGCGGAGGTACCACGAGATCTCGCCGTCCCCTGGG